CTAGCTAGTGTTTGTTCCTAGTGTTTATAGAATGTATATCACTTTTTTTACTAAAACTACCTTTGTTTTTGTGAACATACATTAAATTTTTGTAAATATACTGAGAGGCCAAAGTTAATAAATTTGTTTATGCCCAAATTTGGTCATGTTTGAACGCCACCCAATTGAGTTTGAGCTGGCGCCTCACCCAATGGTATGTAGGTGAGATAAGCGCCGAGGTGGGGCGACCGTGCGCGGCTGCGTGGGAGTCAGTAGCTCGACGCGTGGGCGAAGCGTCGGTGCCCCGCCGGCCACGATGCGGGGAGACTGTCAAGCCCTCTTCCCTAAATTCACGGGCCCGTCGTGGTTCTAGATAACTAGATGAAGATATCGTTATAATTGGGTCGTCGCGTTAGTGCCTTTTGTGTTTTGTTTGCCTAGTTAAATTAATTTGCGTGTCAACGAGGCGTATTTTGACTCTGGCGCGACGTGTTATTCTGGTGCCGAATTTATAAATTGTGATAAGTGAATCCGGGACATTCAATGTCGAATTTTGTTCTACTGTCCTTGTCGTGTCGGATATCACGTGTTCGATTCTGCGATGAGTGTGGAATTAGGCGAATTGAAGTTAGTTAAATGTACAATGAAGCTAAGAGACTGAATTAGTGACAATGAAGAAATAAATGGTCCAGCGATGGAGCCTGGTGGAGCGATGCAGCATTTTGGGGCAGCCTGGAACTCGGCCGCTGCTGGTCGCCTAAGCTTGCTCAGGTCGCAGACATTTACACCTCACTGTACACTACTCGCCATCCACTATTACACACACTCACGGCCTGCCCAAGCCTTGGTGCGAAGTTATATTCGGATAATGGTAAGTACTACGTGTTTCTAGCTTTCTCCTATATAATTTATTGTGATAGGAAATTCCACGCGGCCATATTGAGGCCCAATCTGCGTCTACTCGTGAAGTCTTCTGCTGAAAGGGCCCCAGAGGATTTGATCCTTGCTGGAGCAGCCGTAGGCCGTAACAAAGTGGTAGCAGAGCGTGGTTTAACCATTGCGTCCACACCAATATTTCTGTGGTGGTCTTGATTGAAACCTTGCCGCAGGCCAGGAGAAGACCCAAAGACTTCAAACGGGAAATCACATTCGTCATTGTCGTTGATATTTTATATGCGATTTTAAACTACTCGATTTACTTCTTTACTCACATATGGCTGTAGAGAGTCTTCGGTAAAATAACTTGGTGGCAAGTTTGCTTATACCAATTGCTAATTTGGCTGTCATCCTTCGTCTTCTACTATATTCAGTTCCCTATAAACAGACTGATTCATGACGGTGATGATGAATCTGAAATAGGAAGTACAGGAATCACCCAACCAGCCACAGATATAGTGACCACAGTCAATACTCAATTTGGCGATGATGAAACGACTATGAACGGAGTCAAAGATGATGAAAACAATAAACGGAGTAAACAAAGGGAATACAGATCTAAAAATTCCACCTTTCTCGACCAAATCTTGGAGCTTAAAGTATAGATCGATAAGAAGTCAATTCGAGAACTCGCATTTGTGAGATGTACTAAGTTAGATAAAAAACTGAGATGACCATTGCCTATTTCAGTAGTGGTGGTGGAATATTTAAACAAATTTTTACTACATATAGCTATAATAGACCATTTGATATATAATTTATATTATTAATTTAGATATAAAGCCATTTAGGATAATAGAAAGGTTCTTGCAGTGCCTTCTTAAATGCTCAAGCTTACACTTTTTTTATGATTTTATTTAAGAAATACGAGTCGTTTTGTAATTTTCTAAGTTTTGTGTATCAAAGTATAATATTTAAACGAATTCATAGTTTCTAAGAAAAGGATTAAGTTATATTGAAAACAGATGAAAATAATAAAATATGTCATCAATAATGTTTAATATGTATGTATATAAGTAGATCGACAATTCAAAACATGAACTGTATCATAGGTGTGGGCTCGTGTTCGGGCTCGGGCGGGTAGCAATCGAACACGTGATATCCGACACGGCAAGGATAGTAGAACAAAATTCGACATTGAATGTCCCGGATTCACTTATCACAAATTATAAATTCGGCACCAGAATAACACGTCGCGCCAGAGTCAAAATACGCCACGTTGACACGCAAATTAATTTAACTAGGCAACCAAAACACAAAAGGCACTAACGCGACGACCCAATTATAACGATACCTTCATCTAGTTATCTAGAACCACGACGGGCCCGTGAATTTAGGGAAGAGGGCTTGACAGTCTACCCGCATCGTGGCCGGCGGGGCACCGACGCTTCGTCCACGCGTCGAGCTACTGACTTCCACGCAGCCGCGCACGGTCGCCCCACCTCGGCGCTTATCTCACCTACATACCATCGGGTGAGGCGCCAGCTCGAACGCAATTGGGTGGCGTTCAAACATGACCAAATTTGGGCATAAACAAATTTATTAACTTTGGCCTCTCAGTATATTAACAAAAATTTAATGTAATGACTTTTCTATCGACTTCCAAAAGGAGGACGTCAAAAAGGAGGACGCTCAATTCGACTGTATGTTCTTTTTTATGTGTGTTACCTCATAACTTGTTTCTAGGTGATTCGGTGGTAATCGATTTATTCTAGTTTGACCTTGAGTTTGTATATTGCTTAGTTCACTCAAAAGTGTCAAATTATTAAACTTTATAAAAGTGAAAACCTCTTTCTGTAAATCAAAAAGGAGTATATTATTTTGTGTGAATGTTAATAGCTTTTGTTTTTTTAATCCGGATTTTTACGTTTTAAAATTTATTAATTTCAATAATCTATTTAAAGACCATATTTTTGATAATGTAGATCTATATAAATGAACTGTAATTTGGTAATAACATTGTTTATATGAGGTAGATAGATAAGATAAAATAACAATTCAGTAATTGAGTAATGACTTTATTGCAAATTATAATCCAATAATTGCACTTAAAACACAGTAGTTTTCGTGAAATGTGTATGACCAAAATGAAAAATGAAATAATAGTAATATACGTCTAAAAACACCTTGAGAACCTCCAGAGATAAGACGAGCGATAAACAAAAAAATTTTTACATACTAGATAAAAAGTTAAAGTTGTTAAAATAAATGAGTGTTTACGTAATATTGATGTTTTACCTAGGTTAAAGAACATATTCCACGCTCTCTTAATTGCGTGCACAATCCCCGTCTAGTCCCGACACCACTAGCCCCAACACAATTACACAAGGAAAGACATCACCGTCGATAATATGACGAGTGTTTCGCCTCTAAACGAGGGTTGAACAGTTGAAATAGAACCGGTGATTGCTGACGGCTATGTCATCAGCTTTAATTTAAACAGACTTGAAGCGACAGTAACCTAATGCCAGGGTGCGGACCGCGAACTCAAAAGTTTGTGGGTTCGATTCCACCATTCGAATTCTGTCGTGAACTGGTTTTAACACAAGCATTTTAGCTTTCTAGCTTACCAGGAGTGCTTAAAGGCAATGTTAGTAATGTTAATAGCATTGCTAGTAATTAAAAAAATGCGCTACCACAAAGTAATGCCTAATTCTATTGATTACAACTTCAAAGCCTGTCTACGGCAGTGATATCAGTGAATCATTACCTCGCACTTTAAATTCTAACTTCAATTCCACACTAGCCATTAAATATAATATTATATGTAGCATATCAATCTCATTTAACTAATTAAATAATAATATATGTTGGTAATATATATGTTTGTAGTGTATATATATATATATATATATATATATAATATATATATATATATATATATATATATATATATATATATATATATATTTGTATATACATATATATATATATATATATATATATATATATTACCTTTTTTATGGTATGAAATTATGTAAGAATATTAAATAAATAAATAAATATCTTACGTACAAATACGAGTATATTATTTATATTTCTTTTAGTAGTAATTTCATCATCATTACAGCCCTTTACAAACCCGCTGCTGAATATAGGCCTCCCCCAAGGAATGCCACATAGCACGGTCCCGAGCCTTGAGATTCTTACCACCAAGAATACCCATGGTCTTTTAATAATATGTAAGCATAAACACGCGTTCAAGGCTAACTTTGATGGTTTGTGTGAATGTTTCCTTTTCAAATTCAGATTCAACTGAAATAACCGTTGGTAAATAAAGTACGAATAGGTCTCTACAAGTCACAGCGTCCAATAACGTACGCAATTACGTAGACTAAGCGCTTGTGTGTTCACCTTACTCATATAAATAAAGGTCTATGAACGTGTTAAATCAGCTGATGACTAAATATTGAAACGGTTATCGTAAATTCCTAGCTCACGTAAACAAATTAGACGAGATCAGCTACTGTTCACGTATAAGGTACGTAAAGGTAATATGGACACATTAAACTTTGCCGCCCTATAAAACAAAAACTATGAGGAGGACAGAGACAAAAATACAAAGTCGTATACTATAACTAATATATTTTAAAAAAAATTGCAAACGAGTTTTGGAAATAATTAGGAATACTTCGAAAAATCAACTTAAAAAAACTAAATACACTACACAATACTAAAATCCTCTAAAATATTTACTATAATGTGTACGGTTAAAATGGCGTCGATAAAGCAAGGCCCTTTTGACCCTTTATTATTAGATTGATTGATAAAGAGCTATCGTATCACAGAGACATCTATGTAAACAAGGCTGTAATTTTTGAGTTATAAGAAAGTGACCATATTAACCGGACGGCCATATTACCCCCACGTACGATAGATTACAATATATTCATTCAATTATTTTCGCAGATTAATGTATATTGAATAATCATCATTTGACAACAATTATCTTTTATTTTTCACTATCGCGCATTGTAAGAAATCTGCTTAGGGATCATAAAATATCGATAGTTGATAACGGATGTCCTATATAAGCGAAATTTGGGTCGTCAGGGTCATCCAGTAAACAAACCACGGCACGCAAAATGGCACGTTTGGCTTGGGCTCTCCTTCTCTTGGGTAAGTTGTTTTAATTTTTTTATAGAATAATAGTGACAAAGAGCACACAGTACTGATATTAAGTGTATGCTGTGACCCATAGACATCATATATTCTCGATTAAGAATCAAAATGCAGTTGCGTTGTCATCCCTGAGGACTAACATGGAATGCGTCGTTTCCAGTGAAAAGAGTCTCCAGTTCTCTGCGCTTACCATACGAAACTCACCAGTAGTACGCTGGTATGCTTTGTGAGTGACTGAGCTGTTTGACGTCCTGTTGTCACAGTTAAAAAAGGCTACCTTTAACATTTGATTATTTTTGGGATCGATCTACGCAAAACGAGCTTACAGTATCTTAAAGGTTTGCTGTAGTATGCTTGGGTTTAAATTTAATTTTATTAATTATGGGATCCCAAGTGGATGTTAGCCCCCAGTCGTCTTCTCTATTGAAATTAGAAAGCTTTTTAATTTCAATAGCCTCGCGATTCATCCTTGGTTGGACTCCCTTCTTTTTTTAAAGTCGATTAAAAATTAGGTCAAGATACAAACATGACAGTCTGGGTTGACGCTAAAACAGTTGAGATATGAGGCACCGTTTACATGTCAACACTTTTATCCTTTAATTCAACAACCCCAAACGTTATCTATACCCAAATTAAAAAAAAAAGTTTTGTCTTGTCATTAGTCTGTCTAAATAAATATTTAAAAAAAATTGCGTTCTCGCTTTACTGTTTTCTATTTTAATAAGCTTTTATTTAACTTACAATAAACCTAGCAAGCTAACAGCATAGTAAAGTGGCGAAGCAATCAGCTTTGTAGCGGTTCCTAACGGTTGCCGTTGAGCAATCAGTTTCAAAATAGGAGGTTCAGATGCCTGGGTGATCAGTAATCGATTGCTGAAAACAGAATTTGAAAATTCGAAACCGTTCTCGAGATAATCGTGGGACAGACGGACAGACGGACAGACGCACAGACATTGTGAAATCAATAAGTGACTTCGCAAGCTTCGCCACTTAATAATTGTATGTTTGTTTGTTTAGGTCAAACAATTTCCCAATCGATTGAGCTGAAATTTTGCATACACGTTTAGTTTGGATGACAATGCATGGTTAGCTAAGTGATATAAAATCAAATCCATTATCTTTGATTAATTTCTACTGAAATACATATTTTAATCAATAATATAAAATGCATAGTACAGTGGCTAGGTGTTTGATTAACTCCATTGTGGACTGCGGGTTTGAATCTCGCGCAAAATAAGCATTTGAATCACTCACAAATAATTATTGTTGCCGATCTGGATGTTCTGCTGTAGATTATATCTTCATTTCTGCTTCATTGAGATTAAGAATGCGATCGAAGAGTTTGTGCGTTCTTCTGCGACACTTTCGACATGCTTGCCATTCATATCATCCACTCTATTGCAGTATTCTAGACACTCAAAACGATTATGTAACTCTAGCTGAAATTTTCGGAGCTTCGGATAAGAGCACGGGGGAAGGAGCGTTCACTTTATTAGACGTGACCTCTCCAACTTAACGTTTAGGTTCAGTGTGCCGCTCACCATATAATGATCGCTGCTAGTTTACACCATTACGATCACAAAGACATCACTGAACAGTCGCCGTCTAGTATTCATGGGGAGACGTATGCCATAGTTGCCACAGTTGGCAAGCTGTTTGGCAACCACATTTTTTATTGTTATTTTGCCATTATCAGAAAGATACTGCTGCCCATTTTCTGCCTCAGTTTCCATCTATTCTTACACTGCCTCTACACAGTTAAAACAGTAAATAAATATTTTTTGTATGTTTTACACAGCTGCCGCCTGTTCGGCTTCTGAAGACAGTCGCATTGTTAATGGCAAACCCGTATCCATTGAGAAATACCCATCTATGGTACAAATAGAAAGGTGGATCTTGTTTGCCGTCTGGACTCAGAGATGCGCTGGTAGTATTCTGACCAGAAATCACGTCCTGACCGCCGCCCAATGCTTCGCTGAACCGTAAGTGTTTAATTAAATATATTATACTATACACATATCTATATACCTTTACATATATAGACATTGCAGGGTAGTGATGTATCCCTCACTCATGGGTTACCTTGTTTGAGGTCCTCGTGACGGCAAATTGAAAGAGTTACTCGAATTTTAACATTGAAGCACCTCACTCACTCATTCACGACCTAAATTATGAGTTATGATTGACAATACGAATTGGGTCGCGAGTGAGTGAGCGAACGACTAGATTAAAATAGTTCAAATACGTAAGTATTGAGATTATGTATTTTGCAGCAATATCTAAATGAGTGAAGTGTCGATGTTAAGTAAAAATATTAATACACAACAATAATAATTTTGGAATAATGGAATGTCAAACAAGACATATTTATTGTACTTGGTAGAGCCATGCTGCAGCTATATTTCGGGTATAATTGTAGCACGAATTACTGTTTTAACTATTATTTTTGTTTTCTAGCCTCGCCCGGCCTCAAACCCGTCGTATCAGAGCGGGCAGCACTTTCCGCAACACCGGTGGCATAATCAGTAACGTAGCTCAAATCTACAACCATCCTTCCTTTGGAGAGAACGGCTTCGACAGCGATATCTCCGTCATCCTACTCGAGACTCCTCTTGACTACTCTGACAAGATTGCCCAAGCCAGCATCATCGCTCAAGACACTGTTATTCCCGACAACTTGGCCGTTACGCACGCCGGTTGGGGTAGAACTTCAGTAAGTGCAATCTTATAATATATTTTTAAGAAATTATATTTTAGAACGATAATAATATTATTAAAAAATTATATTTGAGAATGGTTTAAGCTCTAATATTTTTATAATACTTTAGTATTTTGCATCGTATAATTTTGAAACTAAGTATCGCGAAAATTACAGCAACCGCCTAGGGATTTAAAAAAATAATAATGTCGCCTCAGTACATAATGAGAGCGCATCTTAGTAGTAGCAAAGAACATATACACTACGCGAAAAGAAACGATACTTAAGCATGTGTGCACGTAAAATCACTTGCGGCTATGTGTGGGTGTTTGGATGTGTACGGGCGCCTTGAGAGGCGCGCGGGGCGTGGAACGGGCCGTCGCCAAAGAATATATACACTACGCGAAGTATTAGTTTGTTTGGATGTATGGATGGTTGTTTGTTGCTCAATCACGTAAAAACTACTGACCGGCTTTTGATAAAACTTGACAGTATTATAAATAACAAATCAGAATATGATATACCTAGGCTGTATTTCCCATATCTGTAAATTAAAAAAAAGGTCTATCCCAAATTACAGTCTTTTTATTCCGTGGTGTAATTAATATATTTTTTAAAATTTATTTATGAGATCTAAAAAAATACAGATATAGGTCAAATTAAATTAAATTTTCACCTAATAATAATATTTGTAAATATCAAACAATCAAGAACGTTAATTTGAAAAAAAAAATAAGGTTTATGATTCATTAATATTAACAAATGTAAAATATTATTTAATGTTATACAAATGTAAAAGTAAAGTCGATCTGAAAACGTCTAGTTAGTAAGAATAGCAAAACAAGTGTTTTCAAAAGGAAACAAACGGCGGCGCTATACGGCGGCGGATTGACAAAAGACTATTTATTAGAGGACTTTTTTTATGCATGAACGGTTTCAAACTGTTTCAAGCACAAATAAACCTTATACGATATCACAAGAGCACATGGTACTTCGTAGATCTATTCGGCCATATGATAGTAATAAGACGGCAGTTCAACCATTTTAAGCAAAATTAAACAATAAGACAAACGAATTGTTTTTTTTTTTAACAGGAGACTTGTTTTCCAGAAATTTATTTACAACTTGAGTTTGTGAGCAATCGTAATGAGTGCTATTATTTGTTACTTATTAGACTATTTTTCCACAACATGATTGAAAACCCACAAAGTAAAAAGAGTACCATGTACAAGTTAAAAAAAGGTTGTCTACCCCTAAAAATTTCAATTTTTGAAAATATTCTGAAACGAAGCTGCAGGCATGAACTACTTGCAAAATAATGAATATTTTGTTCTGGATAAATTTTCCAAAAACGTAATTTGTGCGAGTTATGACGATTTTTAAAAGGACACGACTCGTGTGTCATACGCCACACACAAAAGTAATCGATGGCACGCCTGGAGTGTCATCCACACTGAACCGGTTAACCTGAATTCGGGGAGATGTGTTATATTATGAGTTATTAAACAAAGGTTTGGCCTTTGTTTTTTGTGTGCGTAAGTGTGTGCGTGCGAGAATCCGTGTTTGCGTGCGTGCCTGCGTACGTACGTGTGGGTGGAGCGTGTTCACATTTCATAATTTATATTTGCGACTGTTGTCACTAACACCAGCTTCATTTTTGTGATTTGTATAAACACTTTTACTACTTTTTTCAAGTAACTGTGCAGTATATAACACTTTTGAATATTGTAAATTAACAGAAACTATCTGATGATAGTATAGGGAAATGTACCGCGTCGCGTCGCCCCACAATATGGATTAAGGACCTGGTAAGATATACAGGAAGTCGATGGATGCAAGTGGCTCACGAGGACGGCATATTCGCATCAGCGACAAAGCCCTATATATATGAATAAAAAAAAGTGGCTCAGGACCGTGCTTTGTGGCATTACTCGGGGCAGGCTTATGCTCAGCAGTGGACTTGTGAAGGGCTGTAATGGTGTTGTAGTGTAGGTGTAGCCCACACGACATAATATTAGAATTTATTGATATTATATATACTAAGACTACTCTTCTTACTGCAGTTAACATCAATATATTTTATACGTGGTAGAGCCATGCTGCAGCTATATTACTGATATAGTTGTAGCACGAATGGGTCGGCTCGACCGGGGAAAGATCACGCTCTCACAGAATACCAGCGTAAAATAGCAGCTTAACGCTGCTGTGTTTCGTATGGTGAGTGTAGAGAACCGGAGACCCATTTCACTAGAAAAGAGGCATTCCATTTTAGTCCTCACAGGTGACAACGCATCTGCATTTTAATTCGCAAACGAGAATAGATGTAGATGTCTATGGGCCGCAGCAACCACTTACCAACAGGTGGACTGTGTGCTCCTTTGTCACCCTATCCTATAAAAAAATATATATTCCAAAATTATATCGTGTGGGCTACACCTACACTACAATGATAATGATAATGATGATCTATAATGATAAGTAAACATAGATAATATAACATAATTTTTTAAATTTCTCAACAGTTCTTTGGAAGCCGTTCCGAGCAGCTCACTGAAGTCGACGTTCTTACTGTGAACAACGAACTATGTGCTAAACGTTACCTTAACTGGCCCCGCCCACAAGTGGTCACATCAAACATGATATGCGCTGGTCTCCTGGACGTGTCCGCTGATGGAACCTGCTTTGGCGATGCTGGTGGTCCTCTGTACTACGACAACATCGTCATCGGTATCGCCTCCTGGGGTAAAACGTGCGCCAATGGCACTTACCCTGATGTTAGCACTTCGGTCGCTTCTTACACCAACTGGATCGTTGAAACCGTCGGCTAAGTAAAACATTGTGTCAATGTGTTTACTAATGAATACTTTGTTCTAATTTGATGATATTAAGATCACGTAAATAAACGTATAAACAATAATTTTCTTTTTTTTAACCATTTATTTTTAATTTTTTTATTTGTTAAATTCACGGCTTCTCCACGGTGAAGGTCGAAAAGCTTCAGCTCTAGAATATTTTTTCCGATATACGCTGCGCAGAATTAGCAGAATTAAAAATAAGTAAAATAACTTATATTAAACTAGATAAACAAACCAACAAACGTGTGTGTAACTCTGTAAATATGTAATGCAGTGCAACGCAAGATTAAATAATGTTGAAGAGTATCACTTACATATTGAGACTGTAGGATGGAAAACAAAATACTGTTTATTGTAACGCGTTGCTATTGGTACTGAATTTATGATAAAACAAAATCAAACACGAGCACGCGCTTCCATTATGCTAACATATAAAAATGTACGGGCTTACTCCTTCATATTGCCGAGCCTTACACAAAAGAAAGACAATAAAATCTGTAAACTATATAAAAATAAGAAAAATATTATTCGTCTATTTTACTTTCAAACTTAATAATGTTGTTAAACATTGTGGATGTAAGTAGGGTAGAACTGGGGGCTCTAAAACATTTCACATCGCTGCGCTCGGTTCGTGCTGCGAAAGCCCCGAATTCTACCCGCCTGTTACTCAATATGACGGCTCGAAGTGCAGAATCTTATAATATTGTTTACTGAGCGATGTTCTGCTCTTTAATCTGACAGACAGTTACAATTAACAAACCATGGCAACCCCTGCCACGCTATCCACGGACTTCTGCAAGATCAAGGGACTTCACTCGAAACTTAACGCCGTCCACTATCATCTATAGACGGCGAAGCCGGCCTTGCTCTTTTTGACCGAGCCGCTCGTAATGTAAGACTGCATTACTGCGTAATGCGCGTAATGCAGTCTTACAGGAGCGGGACTGTTATCGGGCCTGGGTTGAGGCTTCGGCGGCTCGGGATGTAAATACCAGCATGCTTAAAAAGAAGTATAACTTCGCCTCCAGGTCCTTTAAAAGAGTTGTAGCCGATGGAAGGAAAAGGGGAGATCTCCCGCCGGGCAAGGTGTTCTGCCCGGGGAGCGGCCAACGCTCCTATTGGTAGTTCGGAGCTATTCTATATATGCTGCTTCAATTTTGGAACTTTGTTAGCGCGATTTAGGCTTCGATATGTTTCGCTTGTGGTGCGACGACAGCGCCGCCACATCACCCCCCTGCTCAGACCGGAGGTCGATAGTGCAGTCCGATTGCCGCTGCGTCCTTAATGCCGATGGGGAATACATGCTGTGTGCGTAAGGGCAAGTGACGCCGGTGCGAACGATATGCCGGTGTGTAATGCATGCCATACTACGCACTTGCAAGTGATGCCGGTGAGAACGATGAGCTGGAGCAAGTGCCAGGGATTGCCTTGTAGTCTGCGGTGAGTCGAGAAGAAGGCAAGTAATCTGCGAGAGTGCTGTGAAATAGAGGCGAGCAGTAAGGCTCAGAGCCGTGCCGAACACTGTAGCGCAGAGAGTAGCTTGAAGGAACAGGAAGCATTATTATTCCAGTGCTGCGATGAACCTTTTTGTAAAGCTAGATGGCTTGCAGAATGTGAAGACTGCAGACAATATCAACTCGGGAGCGAATGAATGGGGTACTTGAGGATGATGACGAAGGTTTGAAGTTGTATTTTCCGAAGGTTTGTTGGTTGCGTGTTCATATCACGTCGGTTAGTCACCAATGTAGCCGGTGGAAGGAAAAGGGGAGATCTCCCGCCGGGCAAGGTGTTCTGCCCGGGGAGCGGCCAACGCTCCTATTGGTAGTTCGGAGCTATTCTATATATGTTGCTTCAATTTTGGAACTTTGTTAGCGCGATTTAGGCTTCGATATGTTTCGCTTGTGGTGCGACGACAGCGCCGCCACAGAGTTATTGCCAAGGCAAAGTCAGAGCACATAGGCAAAATTGGCAAGAAACTAGTTCGCCTTCCTTCGGGATCCCGTGCATTCTGGTCTCCTGCCAACGCTGTCCAAGGAAATTTCTGTAAGCCATCACTACCATCTCTACACAGGGAGGATGACTCACTGGCCCACGCCCTAAATGAGAAAGCCAACCTTTTAGGCTACCTTTTTGCGTCCAACTCGACTCTTGATGATGGGGGGAGCACACCACCGACCATCCCGCGGTGTGAGTGCTCCATACCGGATTTGCGATTCACACAGTGCTCAGTACGCAAAGAACTCCTCTCCCTGGACATCCACAAGACGAGTGGGCCTGACGGAATCCCGCCAATTGTGTTGACGACGTGCGCTCCAGAGTTGGCACCGGTTCTAACGCGTCTTTTTCAGTACTCCTACTCCCTAGGCGTTGTCCCGAATTCATGGAAGACAACTTTCGTGCACCCGATACCTAAAAAAGGTAACAGCTCTGATCCGTCCAATTACATGCCTATCGCCATCACCTCCTTGTTCTCGAAAATAATTTACGTGGTAGAGCCATGCTGCAGCTATATTAGTAGTATAGTTGTAGCACAAATGGTTCGGCTCAACCGGGGAAGGACCACGCTCTCACAGAAAACCAGCGTAAAATAGCAGCTTAACGCTGCTGTGTTTCGTATGGTGAGTGTAGAGAACCGGAGACCCTTTTTACTGGCAAAGAGACATTCCATCTTGGTCCTCACAGGCGACAACGCATCTGCATCTTGAGTCTTTATTGAGGATAGATGTAGATGTCTATGGGTCACAGTAACCACTTACCATCAGGTGGACTGTGTGCTCGTTTGTCACCCTATCCTATAAAAAAAATAATGGAGTCCATTATCAACTGCCAGGTCATGCGGTACCTTGAGGAGCACCAGCTGGTTAGTGACTGCCGGTACGATTTCCGTCGCGCTCGCTCAGCTGGTGATCTTGTTTACCTAACACATAGACGGACACAGGCGATCGAGCCCAAGGGGGAGGCATTGGCCGTTAGTTTGGACATAGCGAAGGCCTTCCATCGGGTCAGGCACAAAGCGCTTCTTTCGAAGCTTCATTCCTATGGGCTTCCCAAGAAATTGTGCAATTGGATCACTAGTTGTCTGGCTGATCGAAGCAGCAAGTTCGTAGTAGATGGTGCATGCTCCGATTACAAGCCTATTAACGCTGGTGTTGCACAATGCTGCGTGCTATCACCAACGCTGTTTCTTCTGCATATCAATGATATGTTGCAAACCGGTAACATACATTGCTACGCAGATGACAGCACTAGTGATGCTCTATACACCAGCCGTACCAGTATTTTTCGGGATAATGTTGTGGTCATTTGGAAGAGAAGGCCTCTAAAAAGCATGACGTGCTCAGCAGAGCGAGACAGTATTTCATGCCGGCACACCGCCTGAAACTTTACTAGGCGCAGGTTCGGCCTGTTCCCATCTCTGGGCAGGGGCACCCCAGTGCCAGCTCCTTCCACTTGACCGCATCCAGCGCAGAGCGGTTCGAATCGCCGACGACCGAGTTCTTTCCGATCGGCTTGACTCACTGGCACTGCGTAGAAATGTTGCATCTCTTTGCGTATTTCATCACATTTACCACGGGAAGTGCTCTGAGGAAATGTTCGGACTGATTCCAGCCGCTCAATTTTACCTTCGCACATCGCGACGAAAATACCATCCATACGCGATATCATCCATACCACCTGGATGATTGGTAATCCACCATTGTGCGATTTATAAGATTTTTCTTCCTCGCACAACTTCCATATTGAATCGATTACCACCAGCGATTTTCCGGACCGATACGACTTAGGGACTTTCAAAAAAAGAGCCCACTCCTTTATAAAGGCTGGCAACGCATCTGCAATTCCCCTGGTGTTGCAGTTGTTCATGGACGGCGGTAGTCACTTACCATCAGGTGAGCCACATGCTCGTTTGCCCCCTCTCCTATAAAAAAATCCAAATTTAGAGCCCTGAATGCCATTAAAATGTCAGTCAGTCGGCTTAATTTATTATAAGTACCTAATTAATAGATACCTAGTTAAGTAATACCTGTATTAATAGGTACCAAATTAGGTATTTATTAAAATGTAATAATTGACATTTATGTATTTGGTCCTTCACTGCTGGCCGGATGAGGAAGCTCAAGGTCGCTCAGCGAGCTATGGAGAGGGCTATGCTCGGAGTTTCTCTGCGTGATAAACTCAGAAATGAGGATATCCGCAGTAGAACCAGAGTGACCGACATAGCCCAACGGATTAGTAAGCTGAAGTGGCAATGGGCCGGCCATATAGCTCGAAGAACCGACAACCGATGGGGAAGAAAGGTTCTCGAGTGGCAGCCTCGTACCGGCAGGCGAAGTGTAGGCCGTCCCCCCACTAGATTGAGTGACGACCTGGTAAGATATGCAGGAAGTCGATGGATGCAGGTGGCTCAGGACCGTGCTTTGTGGCATTCTTTGGGGGAGGCCTATGTTCAGCAGTGGACTTGTGAAGGGCTGTACTGATGATGATGATGATTTATTTGAACAATAACTTATTACTCGATATGACAGCTCGAACTGCAGAATCCTATAATTTTGTTTACTGAGCGATGCTACACCTGATCGGACAGGCAGCTAATTCATGACAGTGACAATTATTTTGTGTGAATCGTATAGCAAAATAAAAGCAAAAACTTCGCGCTTTTTGGGAGATGTCTTTAACTTGATACAGTGGTCCAGTGGCATATGGTACTTTCTGACATCTCCCCAACGCGTAGGTGGATGTGATATTTATTATTTGGTACTTGGTTGGTTATATGGTTGGTAGGTTAGTAGTTTATCCATGCGGTTATGTGTTAAGTTGGTTTCGCGTTGCCCAAGCCCTAATTACAACTAGAGAATAGAATAGAATAGAATATTTTTTATTCAATATACATTACATGAGTAATTCTTATTGAAAGTCATTTTTTACTTTACCACTGGTTCGGAAAAAACCCTCTGTCCTGGGAAGAACCAGCA